TTTCCACAAATTTTATAGAGCAGTTTCTTATGGTGTTTTCCAGTACATATCCTTAAAATATACATTGGTAGAAAATAATATGCAAAGGCATAAGTTAATATATTGCCAGTTGGCACATTTTGGTGACCTGGGTTGACGGATGGACATAAAGTACTATAATGTCAACTGATTTCATTTCTTTTAGATAATCTGTAGTTGACACCTCTTTTGGAGAGACTCTTGATAGAGAAGCATAAAATATAGTTTAATGAATTCTGATGACAAGTTTAAGGACTGAAATTCTGCCTTGTTTGAGGAGTTACCTGTATGCTTTTTAAACAAAATGAGGAAATGATCACCTGATATTTTGCCATAAAAATGGAGGAGTCTAACTAGGACCTTTGCTTGGAATAAAGCATACTTGCCTACCTGAGTGTGAAGATAATCTTCAGGGACCAGTGATCTGGAAGGACACCAAGTCCCAACTATGTGAAATGTCAATACAATTGCATGTCTACATTTCTGGGCAACCGAAAAAGCTTTTTTTGTCATTGGAATCCAAAGTCATTTTCAATAACCTTGATTGTCTTAATATTTCATTGCATTTTATATTTTTTTCAAGTTACAAATCAATGTCATTTTCAAAGAAACATTGACAGAATCAACACAGTCTAGAAAAGGATCGACAGAATGATGAAGTGTACAACTTTTGGAAAACTTGAAGACTAGGACTAGTTAGCCTGGAGAGGAGAATAGTTAAAGGGAAAGAGATAATTAATTCTTCAGCTGTGACTCTCTACCTTATGGAAAAGGGAAGGGTTGAGAGCAGAGTTAGAACCAGTGCATCCTTCCTTACGAAGAAGTCAGGTTCCAACAAGGAAGTGCTTGTTAAAAATTAGTGTTGTTCCAGTGCGGACAGGACTGTCTAGTGAGGCGGGGAGTCCCTCTCATTAGAACTGCAGTTTCATTCATTGTTTTTTTATTCCCCTGTGAGTCATACTTTCTTGTTTCTTTGCAAGTCTTATAACTGTTTTTTTTTTTTTAAGAGAGCAGGATGTTTTAAATAATATAATGTGACAACTCAGAAAATCAGATTTTTCCACCTCTCCAACGTTTGATGTTGTTTATTTGTTGGTTCGATAGCATTTTCTAAACGAATTCTCTAAAGGCTGTATTCTTTGTCACATGTGGTCATTGAAGTTTCTGCTCAGTTAGCTTAGTGGTCAGTTAATGAACGGACAGAGATTTCCTTAGATGCCTTAGATGCCTAGAACCAGCGAGTCTCCTGGCCTTTACCAAGGGTGCACAGAGCTTCAAGGTCAGCCCGAGGAGAGATCTTAGGATCTTTGCAGATCTTTCCTGGACCTATGCACAGTTCCTGAATCTAAGCACAGCCCTATTCATGTGTGTAATTTCCGAGATCCCCACGAATATGCCAGAGCTTTGTCAAGCCCCCTTGTGCACAACTGTTACCAACTGCCTCAGGCAGCCTCAGAGATCAATAGTTACCTCTAACTGTCGTTGGAAACCTCCTAGGCGGGGAGGGACCGGAGGCTTTCCCTAGTCGAGCTTCAAGTTCAGGTTAAATAAAGACATCCTTCTGAGTGGGGTCTTCCAGGGAACCGCCAGATCAGCCATACAATAACAATCCTCTGGAAATGGGGTCTTGAAGGAGCTGCAACCCCATTCTGCGCCCTCTGGTGGCGGCTAGGCTGCCAGTTCTCACTAGGATTGCAGGCTCTTGGCTTTCCAGGCTACCAAGCGGAGCAGGGATGGGAATAGGGCAAATGAAAATTCCATAGCGCTTGCTGTTCCTAATGAGATTCGGCGGCTTTTCGTGAATAAACGCTCCTCAAATTGCTGCAAGACTTTGGTTAATTTCCAGAATTCTAGAAAAATTGAGGCTAACAGTTTTTTGCCAGTGTTTTCATTGCTTACATGAGTAGAGATTCTTTGGAGGTCCTTTCCATGCCAGTTTTGCTATGTCACTGTACAAGTGCTTTTTTGCCATGTTTTTAAAAGATAAAAAGTTGAATTCATTACTTCCAAGGACCCCTCCCATTCTAGAGTGTTCCGTATTAATACGTCTCATTCCCCAACCATCCTAGGTGATAGAATTTACTGTACCATTTTAAAAATAAATATGATTGTTTAAGATACACTGAAACAGACTTTAAACAGTGCCAAGATATGAAACATAATAAACTTTACTTAATTATCAACTTCTGCCTTGTTTTATTCCCAGATTTGAAAAGGAAACATTACTTTTCTGGCACAGTTTCTTAGCTTAAAATGAATTAGTCTAAAGGGGTAGGAGATCTTAAGACAATAGAGATACAATTTAAACCCCAGACACTATTGAAAGGGTAAAAATCAAGTAATTTACTGACAGCATTTCACAGAATTGAATCATCAGCATATAAATTTATTGAGTGGTTTACTTTTTTGAATAACTAATACATTGTTATTAATTATAGTCACCACGTTGTATTGTAGACCTCTTGAACTTATTCCTCCTAACTGGAATTTTGTATCTTTGGTTTATCTCTGATTCTTTTGTTGTTTTTTTTTTGTTTTTTTGAAATAGGGTCTCGCTGTGTTGCCCATGCTGGAGTCCAGTGGGGTGATCTCAGCTCACTGCAATCTCTGCCTCCCGGGTTCAAGCAATTCTCATGTCTCAGCCTCCAGAGTAGCTGGGATTACAGGCATGCACCACCATGCCCAGCTAATTTTTGTATTTTTAGTAGAGACAGTGTTTCACCATGATGGCGAGACTAGTCTGGAACTCTAGACCTCAAGTGATCTGCCCACCCTGGCTTCCCAAAGTGCTGGGATTACAGGTGTGAGCCACCATGCCCAGCCAATTTACCTCTAATTCTGAAATCTGTTATAATTATTATTACTAAAATATTAATATATTCATGCTAATTCTTTATTCACTAAAGGTCCATTTTTATACTAAGTACTGAGAACATAGGTAAGGAATCAGCTAAACATGATCCAAGGCTGTTTTATATCAATTTCTTCAAAGATAGATGTGAGAAAATAGTGCCACATTATTTGGTAATGATGTTAAATGAAGTTGCTATGCAAATTAATTTTCCAGATGTCTGAAGCCAAACCTTTTTAACTTAACAAATTTTGAGGTGACTCTTCCCAAACTATGTAAAACATTTCTCTGCTTCATCAGGAAGCTAATGATCTAATGTCTCAGTAGCAAGTAATCATTTTGGACAGTTATCTCATTGTCCTGTAAAACAGTGGCAGCCACCTTGCTCTTGTAGGGTAGAGCTGAGCAGAAGTACTCACTGGTGACATAATGCTGTGCTTCTGGTATTTTCATACTCTTTCATGAAGTGTTGTACCTCATATTTTTCCATTAATATCTGCTAATCATAGATTTTCCATCTATTTTTAATTTGATCTTTCTGCTTTATAATCTGTGAACTGACATGTGAGACAAGAGATTGTACCTGTTGGGTTCTTAACATTTATGAGGCACTATTCTAAGTGTTAAAATGTGTCTGTGCATTTAATCCTCCCAACATCTCAGACAGGTAAGCACTATTATCATCTATGTTTTTAGACAAGAAAACTGAAGCACAGAGAGATTAAGTAACTTGCCCCAAATCACGTAGGAGTTCGTGATCTTAACCATTATACTATACTGTTGAAGTGGCATTGTCCATCCTGGGTAATACCCAAGGTTAGTTGTCTCAGGCCAAGGAAATCAAGGATGTGAACACACAGGGAGTGAGGTTAAGAGTGGAAGTTTAATAGACGCAAAAAGAGAAGAGCTCTCTCCTGCAGAGAGGGTTCCTGAGTGGGTTTTCTGGTCCACAGCAAAATGCAGCGGGTTTTATAGATAATCTTGAGGAGGCAGAGTCTGATTTACCCAGGGCACGAAAGATTGGTCGGACCAGGTGTACCATTTGCATGGTGCGTGAAAATCTGGCCACCCCCACCCTAATCTTTTATTATTCTGATGGGTTCTCTACTTGGCTGGCACCATGTTACCTGTTTCTTTACTATATACACAAAGACAAGGGAAGATGGAGCCTCCATGTTGAACATACCTGGCCCCCAGGTAGCCCTTTTCTATTGGCACAGCTGCTGGCATTCACCTGTGCAAGCTTCCCGCTTGCTTGTCTATGTCTACAGCTCGATTTTTCAGGCAGTTCTTTTAATGATTTTGGAGCTGCTTTTTGTTAGAAGGGAAATTCCGCCAAGGACTCTTTTACCCTCACTATCTGCCTAAATAATTTATATCTGCTGTATCACTGTGTCATTTAAAAATGCTTCTTAAAATGACACATAAACCTAAGAGTGAATGAGCTCTCATAGAGTATTTGAGTGGAACTGTTTGAAAAATACTTAAATTTTGGTGAGTTGTCTTTGTGATGTCTATGTTCGTTTCCCACAGAATGTATGTGTATGTCTGTATTTGTGCAAATTTCTTGTGTTTGTATCAAATAGGTTAAGGTGGCCAGAGAAGCAACTTTACCAAATCAGTGTTAAGTATTATTAAATCATGAACATTGTGTGCCAGATCTGGCCTAATGCCTCTTTGTGTGTTTGAAGTTTCACTGGAACCCAGCTACATTCATTCATTCACTTACCGTCTATGGCTGCTTTCTTGTGACAGTGGCAGGGATGAGTAGTTGCCATAGAGACCATATGGCCCACAAAGCCCAAAATATTTACTATCTGGCCGTCTGAAAAAAGAAAACAAGTAAGTCAACCCCTGCTTTAGATGTTGGGTTTTATACCAGTGAGTCTCAACTTCAGGTTTTGAGAAAGACAAAAGAAGGCTCATTGGAATGAGCTGGACGGGCTTTTCAAAAGCTACACACTTGCCTTTCTCCTTCTCATCAGCTTTCCCTGTTGAGAACCACTGTCTTAAACTTTATGATCCAAATAGTCTGATTTCATTAACTGATACAGATTGTTTGCTTTCATTAACTAGTTTTGGCCTTCTGTAACATATCTAAAGTAATGTTGACCGTGTATTTCTTTTACAGGGTTGTGGGAAGAAAATGTATTCCTTTTTGAGAGGAACCAAACAACTGCAGGTGCTGAGATTTCTGGGAATCTCCATTGGAGTGACACAAATTCTGGCCATGATTCTCACCATTACTCTGCTCTGGGCTCTGTATTATGATAGAAGGGAGCCTGTGACAGACCAAATGATGGCCTTGAAGAATGAGAACTCTCAGCACCTGTCATGTCCCTCAGTAGAACTGTTGAAACCAAGCCTGTCAAGAATCTTTGAACACACATCCATGGCAAACAGCTTTAATACACACTTTGAGATGGAGGAGTTATAAAAAGAAATGTCACAGAAGAAAACCACAAACTTGTTTTATTGGACTTGTGAATTTTTGAGTACATACTATGTGTTTCAGAAACAGGTAGAATAAAAATGTTGTCATAAAATAATACCTAAGCATATACTATTCTATGCTTTAAAATGAGGAGGGAGAAGTTTCATGTCATGAGTCACCACCTGGACAACAATTGATGCCCTTAAAATGCTGAAGACAAATGTCATACCCACTGTGTAGCCTGTGTATGACTGAACACAGTTATGTTTTGAGGCAGCATGGTTTGATTAGCATTTTTGCATCCATGCAAACGAGTCACATATGGTGGAACTGGAGCTACAGTAAAGGTTGATTTACTTCTACCAACTAGTATAGAAAGTACTAATTAAATGCTAACATAGGAAGTTAGAAGATACTAATAACTTTTATTACTCAACGATCTATTCTTTTGATGCTAAATAAATTATACATCAGAAAACTTTCAATATTGGTGACTACCTAAATGTGATTTTTGCTGGTTACTAAAATATTCTTACCATTTAAAAGAGCAAGCTAACACATTGTCTTAAACTGATCAGGGATCTATTTGTATATAAGTCTGTGTTAAATCTGTATAATTCAGTAGATTTCAGTTCTGATAATGTTAAGAATAACCATTATGAAAAGGAAAATTTGTCCTGTATAGCATCATTATTTTTAGCCTTTCCTGTTAATAGAGCTTTAATATTCTGTCCTGGGCTTATATTACACATGTAACTGTTAATTTAAATACTTAACCACTAATTTTGAAAATTACCAGTGTGATACATAGGAATCATCACTCAGAATGTAGTCTGGTCTTTAGGAAGTATTAAGAAGAAAATTTGCACATAATTTAGTTGATTCAGAAAGGACTTGTATGCTGTTTTTCTCCCAAATGAAGACTCTTTTTGACACTAAACACTTTTTAAAAAACTTATCTTTGCCTTCTCCAAACAAGAAGCAATAGTCTCCAAGTCAATATAATTCTACAGAAAATAATGTTCTTTTTCTCCAGAAAAATGCTTGTGAGAATGATTAAAACACGTGACAATTTAGAGATTCTTTGTTTTATCTCACTGATTAATATACTGTGGCAAATTACACAGATTATTAAATTTTTTTACAAGAGTATAGTATATTTATTTGAAATGGGAAAAGTGCATTTTACTGTATTTTGTGTATTTTGTTTATTTCTCAGAATATGGAAAGAAAAATAAAATGTGTCAATAAATATTTTCTAGAGAGTAATGACTTGTCTGTGCCTATTTTTTAATACATTACAAGCACTTAAGCCACTTGAGATTATCAAAGGGAGAAAAACATGAGAAAGAATGATTGCATAAAGTATTAATATTGATTTCCAAACTATAGAACAGACCTATAAGAGTACGTATTTTCACTGAGAAGAGTCAAAAAGATGCCCATTTATTTTTCACTTTTGCTTTTTAGCTAAATGTTAAATAATATACTTGTTTGAGATAATATAAAAATATGCCCATTTGTGTTATCTTTTCAATGTTTGCATAATCACAGTTTTATAACTATTATTAATTTTTAAGAGAATATGAGTCTCTTAGTTAATTTCAAATTCTCTTCAAATGAGTCAAGGAATACAATACTTGAAATTGACTGCCATAATTAAAATCTTCCATAGATTTTAATGAAAACTGAGTACAGTACTTGTTCAATCAGAGCCAAAAGCATCCCTTCTAATAACTTCCTCAATGCCCCAAATCCCTGTAATTTCACCTAAAATACCCACGTAACTGAGATAGATATCTATGAGTTTTGTTTGAATTATTTGTATAATGGTCAAATTTAGCTGCTGCTTTTTTAAATATGTCTTACAGTCACAGAAAGAGCAAGCACATAATATGTTGGACTCAGTAAAATGAAAAGTCCTCAAATTACAAAAGTTGCTTTCTACATTTTTAGACCTCAGATATTTTGATGTATTACCTGATTTACTGCCCTCTAGATTGGTCAACATAAATTTAGACAATCATTTTGTATATAATACATTTGCTTAATGGGAATGAATGACATTTATAGCAATAGCCCACAAAGCCTCTTATGGTAGCAGTGCACCTGGAATAATAAAACGGCAAGGGAGTTAAAAAAGTGTATTTAATGCAGTAGAGCTGAGGGAGTTCACTGTTTGGGTACATTGCAAACAAAACTGTTAACTGTTTCTTTGGGAATTTTTAAAAGCTTTCTTTGGTTAAAAAAAATCACCATTTTTTAAAAGTAGAAATTTAAGAAGATTATTTTTAGACTGGTTAACAGTCCATTCAAAGTGCCCTGGAGACTCACAGATGGCAACAAGAGATGATGTCTGTCCTTAAACACTGTAGAATCTGGGTTAGAGACACTCGTGCTAACCACAGGAAAAATAAATAAGGCAATATGCAGCAAGTCGGGCCCTTCTTAAGAGTAAGAGATGGAGTAGAGTGGAATTAAGGCCTCTATGCCAAGGAGCTGGCCTTCAAGCTGGATCAGAAGGAGCAGTGGAGTCTAGCTAGCTCGTGGAAAACGTTCCATGAGCCATGAGTTTGAGGTTAAAAAGTATACATCATTTTGGAGTTATGACTTATGGTTCAATGTGGTTAGCTCATAGAATGCTTGAAGAGATGCCATGGGAGAGCAAATGAATGAAATTTGAGTTTGGGTGCTTTGTTCTGTAGGCTCAAAGTAAAGTCACCGAAGTGATTTCAGAAAGAGAAATGATGAATATTTCGTTAATTTAACTGGCTTAGCCAAGTAAGAAAGAGGGGACCAGGAGACAGTTATACTCATTATGCAACTCCTGAGTGGGTGGGCCACCATTGATCACAGTCTAGGTAAGTGGAGCGCTCGGGAGTTGTACACACTGCAGGTCCTGGCGGGAGACTGGATAGTTTGCTCTTGCTGTGGTCCTGGAGAGGGATAAGGATCCTCACCGGGACAATGGACATCAAAAATCAAGAGTGCGTAGAACAGATCACACCAGGGTGAATCCACAAAAATTGGCAGTAGATAGACCTCAGGGAGTGTGGGACAAGAAGTAAAAGAACTGAAATTTCTGGATTTTGCGCCTGGCAAATTGGCATGGCATTAACCTAGATGGAAGACTGGAGGGGAACGAGTATGAGAGGGTAATTAATTTGGTCTGAGACACAGAGTTAGAGATGCCTGCAGGACATGCAGATGGAGATGTCTATAGGCAGCTGTAAATTTCAGTCTGGAGCTTTGGAGAATTCACTGTCAAGCCTGAGAATTTTTATGCATTGCTTTCCCATCTTAGGAAGCCTGACAGAAAATGGGCTGGGAACCAAATCTTATATGAGGAGAATCTTAAATAGATTGCCACAGAAGCTTCCTTTTGTCTGAACTCCCACTCCTGTGGATGAGTCAAGGGAGGTAAAAACAAGAAATGATTATACTACTGAATCTTCTCTGGCAAAGGAGCTGCCCCTTTTTAAAAACACTGCCAACTGCTATGCTGCTTCACCCAACCCTCTTCCTATTGTCATTCTGAGATTTACAAGTAGATTCCTCTCCCCTATGAACTGAGTTCTCATTTCCTCACATCCTAGAAACATACAGAATCTTTGGTATCATCTTGATCTTGAAAGCTTTTCTTTTCCTATTTGTATGTGTTAATTGCAGTCATTCTTTATCTCATACTTTCAGGGGTGCGTACTAGGTACCAGGCACATGTAGTAGGTTCTTTACACTTATTTTCTCTGTTCTTTGCAACTCATTTGCAATTTGCAGGCATCCCATTTTATTTTACAAATGAAGAAGAGGGACTCCAAGAGACTGAATAAATTTACTTAGCTAATATGTGGCAGAGCTGTACTTCCACTCTCCCCATTTTGTGTCATGGTATCTTCACCGACCCGTGGTGAAGGTCAGATGATTCTTTATGTAGAAAAGCCAAATTCCCCTACATGTAAATCAATATCACCAGGCCTAATTGATCTCCAGATTTTATTACTACTTCTTTCAAAATGATGCTCTTGTCTAACCTCATTCCTACTATTATTTCCCAAGAACAAGTATAAATTATCTAAAGTATCTTGTACGCAAACATACGCACACAGGCAAATTAAGTTCTTTTTTTTTTTTGAGATGAAGTCTCACACTGTCGCCCAGGCTGAAGTCAGTGGCATGATCTCGGCTCACTGCAACCCCTGCCTACTGGGTTCAAGCAATTCTCCTGCCTCAGCCTCCCAAGTATCTGGGACTACAGGTGCGCATCTAATATTTTGTATTTTTAGTAGAGATGGGGTTTCACTATGTTGGCCAGGCGGGCCTTGAACTCCTGACCTCGTGATCTGCCCACCTCAGCCTCCTAAAGTGCTGGGATTACAGGCATGAGCCACTGTGCCCAGCCCAAATTAAGTTCTTAAATCAACTTTATTGAGATTTTATATACATATATATAAACACATATATACACACACACATATATATGTATATACACACACACACGCACACCTAGTAAATATACCCCTTTCAAGTATACAGTTAATTAGTTTTGGCAACTATGTATACTCGTGTAACCACAACCACAATCAAGATCTAGAACATTTTCATCATGTCAAAAAGTTTCCTCTTGCCCATCTGTGATAAATCCTGCAGTCCCCACTCCTAGCCCCAGGCAACACTGATCTGCTAAATGTCACTCAGATTAATTCCTGTGAAACTTTATTCTTATATTGCTGCTTCCTTACTCAAACACTTACAACAGAGGTTCCTCGTTGTAAGAAAGGCAGAGCTTCCCAACTCATTCATGTATATATTATTTATACGGCATGTTAGGATACGTGAAGCTCAGGGGCCACTGGCCACCCTAGGCCTTGTCTGGCTACCATAAGGACTACGAGGAAGCAATAGCTCAATTCAAAATTTTGGCTGCTACATTACAGATCTCAAAATACAGTGGCTTAAACAAAATAGAAGTGAAATTTTAGCTCATAAAATGCGTATGTGAGTAGCCCAAACTATGACTGCCCGAAGGTGTCTGGGACTCGGGATCCTTCTCTCTGGCTACTCTACAACGCTGAGGTGTTCGCTTTGCTTACATGGACCCAAGTAGCAGCCTACTTCCACATTTCACACAATAGGCCAGACAATAGGGAAAGTTAAAGGGAAGGAAGAATACCTCTTCCCTTTAAGGACCTACTCAGAAGTACACACCACTTCCATTGACACCACACAGCTACAAGGAAGGGCTGTAAATGCTTTTTGTTCTGAATACCCATGCATCCGGTTAAACCAGGAATTTCAATGACCACACAGAAAGAATGGGTAATGAGTATTGGTGTCAACTAGCAAATCTCTGCCACACTCCTCAGTACCTGCAGAATAAAGTCTTCCACTACCTGAATTTATTTTTCCAAATCTATCTCCCATAATACTTTCTCAAATATCACTAGAAACCAGCCAACAGGACCAGTCCTAGTCCACTCATTGCCTCTAACATCCCACATATCCCATGTCTCTTTGATTTTGCTCTCATCATGGTTCTTCGCTGGCACAACCTCATCTCCACAATTTCAGCTTGTACTCAACTTTGAAGTCCCAGCTCAGCAGCCACCTATTACATAAAGTTTCTCCTGACGACTCCAGTCCACAACAATTCATTCTCGGAGCTCAGCATTAATTTGTTACCATGACATCTAGTTTGATGTTTGTATTTTTCAATTATATTATATATATGTCTGTCTGTCTATCTATCTGTCTATCTATCTATCTATCTATCTATCTATCTATCTATCTATTTATCTGTATTTTTTTTTTTTTTCCTGAGACAGGGTCCCACTCTGTCAACCAGGCTGGAGTGCACTGGCATGATCTTGGCTCACTGCAGCCTCTGCCCCCTGGGCTCAAGCAATCCTCCCACCTCAGCCACCTGAGTAGCTGGGACCTTAGGCACGTGCCATTTTTTATATTTATACAGCTAATTTTTTGTATTTTTGGTGGAGACAGGGTTTCACCATGTTGCCTCAAACTCTTGAGCCCAAGCAATCCTCCTGCCCCAGCCTTCCAAAGTGCTAGGATTACAGGCATGAGCCACCATGCCAGGCTACACAGGGGGTCACCATGTTGCCCAGGCTGGTCTCGAATTCCTGAGCTCCAGCAATCTACCCACTTCCTTCTCCCAAAGTACTTGAGTACAGGCGTGAGCCACTGGGGCCCAGCCTTTTTTTTTTTTTTCTCTTTGCTTGTCTGTCTGGTCTTTATTGGGAACAAACATCATG